TCATTGTTCTTCATAATAACATTATGAGTATGCTTTCCTTCCTAGAAGTATGAATGTTGTTAGTATGGTTATCACTGTTCTTCTCCAGCTTAGTATTAATAGTAGTATGAGTAGTCGTATTATTATGCGTGTTCCTCTTCTTATTCTTCCTCCTCGTCCTCCTCCTTTTCCCCCTCCTCCGCCTCCGCCTCCTCCTCCTCCTCTTACTCCTCCTTTCCTTCTCCTTACAGATAACTTATCCATGTCGCACCCCGAGGCCATTATTTAGGGCGGGCTGGGCGTTTCGCATGAGGCTTCTTCACCATTTATGACTCTGGACCTTAAGAAGTGACAACAGTTTCGCAGATGGAGGACGGGTCGTTTTCACAATGCGATGCTCGCCTCAGCGCCGCGCACATTCGTTTTCAAACTTTGCAGGAGCTTCACAGATTGAGGGCAGGTCGTGTTCAAAGTGTGGTTGTCGCATTAGCGCCGCGCACACTCGCTCACGGATTGCTCTCGCCTTAGCGCCGCGCACATTCGTTTAAACAAATTGCAAGAGCTTCACGGGTTGAGGGCAGGTCGTTTTCAATGTGTGGCTCTCGCATTAGCGCCGAACACATTCGCTTTCAAACTTTGCAAGAGCTTCTGAGGGCGGGTCGTTTTCAAAATGTGGTTCGCGCTTTAACGCCGCGCACATTCGTTTTCAAAATGTGCAAGAGTTTCACGGATTGAAGGCGGTTCCTTTTCAAACTGTGGCTCTCGCCTTAGCTCCGCGCACATTCGTTTGACAAAAATTGGAAGAGATCCACGGCTTCCATGATCAGCGTACCAGAGATTGCGTTTTGGAAGGATTCAGGATTATGCGGGTGCAACAGTTATGTTGATTCGCGGTGTTGAAGTCCCAGCAAGGGCGCTTTGGCACGATTCCAGATCGTTAAGACGCAGCAGTCAGGTTGATATGTGGCGTTGAAATCCCGAGAACAATGTTTCGGCATGCTTCAGGATCGTCAAGCGGTTGTCTTCCAACGAGGCAGTTCCCACAATGGAATGAGCCGTTCACGGGGCCTATGGAGAGTGAATTTGGAGGGAGGATGAATTCCGACATCGTTTACGACTCTTGGGTTTACTCTAATCCTCCTCCTCCTCCTCCACCCCCTCCTCTTCCTCTTCCTCCATATTCCCCCTCATCATTATCCTCCTTTTTCTTCCCCCTTCTCCCTCATCCTTCTCATCCTCCCTCATCCTCTTCCTCCCTTTTCCTCTTCCTTCCTCCTCCTCCTCCTCCTCCTCCTCCTCTTCCTCCTCCTCCTCCCTCATCCTCTCTCCTCCTCCCCCTCGCCGAAGGCGGCGGTCTCTCGCCGGCGCGAGGGCCGCGATCGGAATCGAAGCCACCTATCTGGCTGCCTCGGAGGGTACGATCCTTCTGGGAGCACCAGAAGCGGCGGCGCTGAGGTACCCACGCCCCCTCGCGTCGCGAAAAAACAGGTTTCGAGCTTTCCTGCGCGGGTGGAAAGGGGAAGGGGCTTTGAGGGTGGGAGACGTTTTCGTCGGTTCTCGGCGGCTGTCCAGCCTCGGGGTGCTCTCCAGCAGCTGCGTCTCGTCGAGGGCGATCTCGGATCGTCCCCAACAGCCGCTGGAGATCCAGGCTATGCCCCGAAAACCTACTTCCCAGCGTCGTGAAAAAAACATCACGGTAGGTTGTTGAACTCTCTGTTGATCCCCCCTCCAGCGCACACGGTATGTTTCCAATTGAACTGCCCCTCCCGAGGCTCACATACTATTTTCTTATATTATAGATTATGTTTGTAGAAAAAAGAAATAAAGAAAAAATGCCCCGTGGCCCCCGAACTACAACAGCAACAACGGCTCCCGCCTGATACTTCCTTCCTCACAATGTATTCCAACATCGCGCTCTCGCGCGGGACTTACTCACAACTCATGCAGGAATCGCCCTCTCGCGTGGGACTTCCTTACAGTGTATTCAGACACAGCGCCCTCGACATTCAGGAATCACGCTCCCGCTTAATCTTTGTCACGATGTACTTCGGAATCGCGCTATCCCTCGAGACTTCCTCACGATTCATGCAGGACTCACGCTTCACCGACCCTTCCTCGCGACATGGCCGCCTGGGCCCGCCTTCCCAACCCGCTCGCTGTCTGCCCGCCCGATCTGCCCATCTGGTTCACATGTTTTTGCTCCTAGCCCCCCTCCTGCTAATTTCTCTCGTGTCCCATCCTTCCTTCCCCATTGCGAACGTTTCCTTATTCGGCGTTTCGATATTGGCGGCCGGGCCTTTGCTTAATGCGACTGTTCGCACACGCGAGTCCTATGGGGGAGACCCCACCTGCTCGAAACAGGCGCCAACAAAAAGCCAACACCTACTCCATAGGGGGGAGAGGCGGCGCGAGGGCCCGCGCCGATCGACAAAATAATGAGCATGAAAACGATCACCTTCCATTCGTCCTTGCTCCCCTGTTTAAGGGGCCGCGCTACATGCACGTGGCAGGTTTGGAAGAA